CGTGAAACTTAGCATAGATGTCACTCATAGTCCTATCGACTTACAGATTTAATTTACTGATTCGAAAAACACAAAGTATAAATTAAAAATTCACCTTTCAATTTGATCACAGTAGTATTAGATCGATGTTTACTTCATATCAGTTAAATCGAATATACCAGAGTTTGCTTATGCACAATAACGCTATGCTACACCTAACGGGAAGCTGTTGCATTTTGTAATACATCTTTTCAGACAATCGTCACCACAACCAAATAAAGGTGTACGACTTTTTGTCCACTCTTAGCATATTCTGAGAGAAATTTGTATATGTACTCGTATGGTATATGAAGAGCGGTCAAGTGATCTTTGCTTGCGCTTCTCACATCATGAATGTGGTTACACTCCCGCATCACGTTTTTACAGTGCTTTGTCTGTCCGTCCGTCCACCTGTCTCACCATGCAAACTATAACTTTAGTAAAAATTGAGATATCGTCGTGAAGCTTTATTTACGTGAAGACGGAAATCAAGCCACAATGAATGTATCGGAATAAAACTCAAGTCTTCTTTTTATGACCACAAAGTGGTAAAATCAGCCGAATTTGTGGACCACAGTGTGTTAGTCTAACATTTTACCGAAAATATTGGCCAATCCGTGATATATACTATTGAAACTAGGTGAGAATATTTTCTTGATAATACCATATCTGTCTGTTCCAATTTTATGGAATATGGTCAATACTTCCCTTACTTCTCATATATCTCTTATAAAGATTTTCGAACTTCCAGTTGACTTATAACGGATATATCGGTAACTCTGTGAGTTATCTTAATGAAATTCAGAAAAAATCCCGCTTACCTGTGTGTCTACGTATGGGCTTAAAATAGATAAAGCCAGATACAAATTTCCCTTAGCTTTGATAACACATACGGTTGACATTATATCTTTAATATCGATCAGTGTGTGGATGTATTTTAATTAAACTCAGAAAACACCTTTTTTTTTTAAAAAGATAACAAGTCAGTTGGAAAGTCCACGGTCTACGAATTTTTTTGAACATAATTTT